TTACAAAAGTAAACACTGGTTTGGATTATGATTATGATGGCAATGGAATTCTCATCATGAGGAGTATAGAAGAGATGCACTAAGGGTAATTAAAAATTTATAAATAAATTTTCAAAAATAAAATTCAGGAAGCATGATGCACAAAAATCAAAGACAAAAATAATTGACATACACTAAAATTGGATTTCCTTTTTGGTGTTTCCTCATTGCATTACTAATTACTGATGTGATAACTCACTCTTCATCGCGCATCCCTAAAATAAACGTGTTTTGCATTTCCAGGCTGCAGCGGTTCAAACAATTACTTTTCACCCTGATGGTAGGAGTCTGTTTTGTGGACTGGACGATGGCTTGAAGGTCTTGATTATTTGCCCTTGAAAGTTAATGAGTGTATATATGGAACTGGAAGGGAACATAAATATTGGGTTTTTCATAATTATGAATTACAGGTTTACTCATGGGAGCCAGTAGTTTGCCATGACACAGTCGATATGGGATGGTCAACGCTTGGTGACCTCTGCATTAATGAAGGAAAACTTTTGGGTTGCTCGTACTATAGGAACTCTGTTGGAGTTTGGGTAGCAGACATATCGGTATCCAGTACTTCGCTTATTAAATCCCTACACATTTCAGTAACTTGGTGAACCTGAGTAGAAGTGTTAGTCTCTCAATATATATATATATATTTTTGCTGTCAGCTTATCGAGCCGTATGGAACTGGTTCCAATGTCGAGAAAACTGACTCTTTGGAGAGTAAGTTTAATCTCCTGGGAAATCATTCTTCAGAGAAAGGAGGGAGTGAGATTAGATCAACATCTACTTTGCGATGCATGTCTCCTGATTATGAAACAAAAGAGATAAAGAACATATATGTAGACTGTGAGTATCTCTGTTTTCCATTTTTTGACTCTTTGTACATTAGTCTGTGCCTGTTAGTCATAAAGTCTCATGTTTGAAGGTTTTCTTTACTGGTTTATATGAATGTCTATCACCAGCAGGGTCACATCCACAGGAGTGGAACATTAACTGATCCTGCAACTTCATATTGGAGACTTATTTTTATAAAATGTCGATTTTTACGAGGTGATTATTGGTTTCGGCACAGCTTGTTTTTTGTCTCCCAATTGAAGGGTAATAAAACTAAAAAATCTCTTTCAAGAAAAATTCAACAGAAACAGTCAGGATCTTTGCATTTAATCGATAATTTTTCTGAAAGAAAGATATAGTTAGCAGAAATCTAAAGGTCTTAAAGCATTACATATGCCATTTGTGGTGGAGGAGGATTGGGTTCCTTTTCTTCTGGCCAAAATTGCTACATTCATCTAGTATCGTATCTCTGGATGTCTTAATGAAATTACTTCGATAATCCCTCTTTGCTTTAACATAATTCACCAAGTGCCTTGAGCAGTTGAGTCTGCAGTGTGATCCATGCTTTCAGTAACTACTGTAGTCCAACTTGTGTCAGGAAATTAGTTTGTGCAAACACTGGCCTCAGCTGTTGTCTTTCTCTAACTTGGCTTGATTGAAAAGGAGCTTATTAAGTGATCCTTAAAGTTCATACTTACAAAAGCTGGAGCTAGGGGTTTGGTTTTCTAAATCAATCTGTGGTTAAGCCTAACTAAAGCTATAATAGAACTCCCGAAGATTTTTATATGTACATGCAAACATATAGTGAGCACAAAGATACCCATTGGAATATGGTTTGGATATTAAAATTAAAGGTTTTGTAATATATATTTTTCTGCTTTCTCACTTTTTAGATGTATTGTTTTTCTAATATGATATTCCTTTTTTGCAAAGCTTCTGGTGGACCTCCTGCTCCTGCTGTTTTGCGGAGAACAGGATCTCTGAATTCTTCAAAGCCAGTCCCATCATTGGATTCTGAGGAGATCAATAACTTGATGGCAGAGAAGAAGAGTGCTTCAGTAGGAGTCCACGCAAAATCTACTGGACAAGGAGTTAATAAATCTTTTACCATAACTACTGTTGTTCCTCGGGATATTCCTGTTGGGAAAGAGTCTCTTACTTCTGGAAAAGAATCTATCACCTTCTCAAGGACCAAACCAGGCATGCTATTAAGACCAGCTCATACGCGGAGACCATCAAGTACTAAACTTGATGTTGAAAAGCTGTCAGTTGCTGCTGACGGAACTCTTGGCAATGCAAAAAGTGAATCAGATAGTGCAATTAATCCAAAATCTCTTGTTTTGGAGGACGGAGCTAGAGAATCCTGTGATGAGAAGGTTTCTGATATTAAGAGCGTGACAGAGAAGTTTGAAAAAGTTTTATCACCACAGGCTCCCACTAATCAAGTAGATTGTAAGTAGTTCTTCTATGCCAGTGTTGCATGTTTACGGAACAACTCTGGGTAGTGTGTAATTTATTCTTCTAGTTACCTTTTCCTCCTCGCCTCCTTATTTCTCCTAAACTGAGATTATACTTATGATAAGTTTTTGATTGAAATGCCAAAATAAAATTCTATTTGTCCTACTGTTGTCAAGTTGCGACTCCTTTCCCTCCTTTCCTGATTATATTCCAAAGTCGTCAATCTTTTGCTTTCCTATTCAGATGTTATTCTTGATTTATTTTGTTCCTTTTATTAGCTAAATCACATGCTTGATTTATCGAGTACAATACGGATTGCTTTATATTAGATTTCTTGTTGTTAGGTGATGACCGCACCAAAGAGACAAACTCTGTTAAGTTCGTCAATGGAGGTTTGCCATTTCTCTCAGCTGTTTTAGTTTTTTTGATGTATACTAAATGGGGGTTGATTATTTAGCAATTACCATGTTTGCAGTTGCAGTTGTTCCTGGACGGACACGTACTCTGGTTGAGAGATTTGAAAGAAGAGAGAAATTTAATGCCAATGAAGATAAAGCAGCTGATGTAACCCCACATCAGACAACTATTGCAACACAAAATCAGTCAACTAATATGATAACAAATGATACAATTTATTCAACATCAATCCAACCGAGTATGACAGCAACTCCCCCAAGTAGTATTATGCAAAATCAGCAAACTATCACGACCCGAAGCCAGGCATCTAATGTGACATCAGAACCAACAATTTATGTGACATCAATTCCACCTACAACACCAAATCAGGCGACTAGTACAGTACCAAAGCAGCCAACTGGTGTGGCCCTGAATCAGCCGATTACTATGACCCGGAATAGATCAATGAGTATGACCCGGGAAAGGCCAACTAGTATGATTCTGAATCTGGCCACACATGTAACACCGACTCAGGCAAAGAATATGATGCACCATGTAGTACCTGAAAGGGATACAATACCAACCACACTGGTAGGATTTTCCCTCAAACAAACTTTGCCATATTTCCAAGATTCTTGTTTTACTTCTTAGTTGAAAATTCTACAAGCCACTCATCCACTTATCTAAAGCATGCCGGTCATCTGCTTCTTAGCTAAAAAATGTCTTCTGAAACCCAAGTATCAAGCTGCAATTTCATTTTAACAAATAAGTTTTTTCAGTGTACACTATTATTATTATTATTATTTTTAAATCTTTGATGATGAGCAGAAGGGAGCAGATCAAATTTCTGGAAGGGACTTAACGACTGCTAACAATGTGGACCTTACTGAAAGTCTGATGCAAACTCATGATGTATTCTTAAGTACCCTCCGGTCCCGGCTGACAAAATTGCAGGTAAAATCAGCTGGAGATGTATTTTTGTACTGGTTTTCTGATTGCGAGCTGATCGTGGCCACTCTATATCTAGCAGTATAGTATCCGCTTGCATTGACAAATTTCCCTACCCATATTTCTCTGGGAACCTGAAATATTAACTTAAAGTGGTTCATCGTGAACTTTCAGGTTGTAAGACATTTTTGGGAACGAAATGATATTAAAGGAGCTATTGGTGCCCTGAGGAAGCTGCCAGACCATTCTGTATGTATTTATTCGAAAATTCCATATTTGTTCTTAAGTTTGTTTTAGTTGTTCCACCTAGTAACTGGAGGTTTATATTGTGTGTCCTTTCTTCCTAAATATCAATAATTGCTGCAGGTTCAAGCAGATGTGGTCAGTGTCCTAATGGAGAAAATGGAGATTCTCACGTTGGATCTATTTTCTTGCTTGCTGCCTGTACTTTCAGGCTTAATAGATAGCAAGACTGAAAGGTAACTGGTCAATAATATTCTTACTGCCAGTTGTAGTATATAATATATGGGATTTTGTTCCATTTTATAGCAACCACTTCCAAATCTGGGTTGTGAGCTCCTGTTAGAACCAACAAAATCTGATTTGACATCAACCTTTCCGAAAAACATAAAATGAAAACAAAAGACATAAAAGGTCTAATCTTACATATAATAGGACAAGAATAACTAATGGTATTCTACTAAGACTTAGTATGTACAGTTTTAGTTAGCATCTGTTATAACTCTTCTAACAGGCTTGTACGTCTACACTGTATAAATACCAGTTCTATACCCTTAATAATACATGAGAGAATTCATTCATAATCTGCATATTACCCACTTAGCTTGGAGGCCTGGTAGGATAAAGATAACTAATAAATATTTTGTCAAGACTTACACATGGTTTTAATTAATAACCATTTACTAGTTTGATAGGATTGTCTGTGTAAACTGTATAAATATCGGCTTTATACCCGATGATGATACATGAATTTATTCATTAATAATCTTTTTTCATATAACTATCCAATTGCCTAGAAAAAATGAGTATGGAAAGATTGATGAGTAGATCAAAGTCCTTCACTGTTTTAACATTTCAATTTCAAGACTGTTTTCTTTTCTTACTCCTATTTATTTTCCATATGCATCTGGAAAGGTGTCTACCCATTTTTGTTTCAAGGGCTGCTCATACCTACGCACTCTGGCAGGAGAGAACAAGATATTTGTCATTTTGAATTTACGAGGACTAATAAACATTTGATTATCTTAATTCTTATATAAATATTGTGAATGTCCAGGCATGCAAATATTTCTTTGGAGATGCTCCTGAAGCTTGTGGCAGTCTTTGGCCCAGTTATAAGCTCTACCATTGCAGCACCTCGAGTTGTCGGTGTTGACCTACATGCTGAGCAAAGGTTACGTTGATTAGCTTTAAGACCTAGATTTTGCTTTCAGTTTGCTGTAAAATTAAAAAAGTTGTTCAATGACTTATTCTTTCCACCCAAAATTCTGAACACAGGTTAGAATGTTGCAATCAGTGCTTTATGGAGATGCAGAAAGTTAAGAAAAATCTTCCTGAACTTGTAAGGTTAGCTCACAATCTTGAATTGTTAACTTTACCCCTGAAGGCTAAAGGTATCTGACTAAACTGCTGCATAAATTTTTCACTAGTAAAAACAAAATGCTCGAACTTTAAAAATAGATGCATAACTTTTCCATTGGTGAGAATTTTTATTTAACTTGAAAAATGAATAGCTATTGGAGAAGAGTGGATAAACAACATGAGTTCCCCGTGGAGATACCTGAATAGCCACAAAGGATGAGTGAGCTCTTAACATTAGTTGCCAAATGCTGAGTGGCTGAAATCCTTGTACTTGTGCGAGAGAAAGTGATCTCGACATTCTAAAACTTCTTTCCTGCCATCACATGCACAAAGACTCCTACTCAAAAGGGTTTCACATGCTCACATGTCCAACAAGGAAAGGAGATAGGTTTAGTCGGTTAATGCTTTTGGTATTGTGATTGTAATGTCCAATTATAGCGTGTGGCTGTTTTAATTTTTGCCTTGGATAATAGGAACACAATTGGATTAGTTGTCATTTGAGAGAAGAGAAGAGTGGAAGGAAGAGAGAAATAGAAAGAGAAGGCTGTTGGAAAAGGGATGACTAGAAAAGCATTACATGGAAGAAAGAAAAATTTTGAGAAAGAGATGATAAAGAAGGGATGCTTACCGAGCCTGCAAAAAGCTATTATATTTGTATTTTTTTTAAGCACTTGAAAGCCGTAAAAATCTAGTTTTATGCAAAACTAGTAATACCATAATCTGTTCTACTGAAAAGCTGTACATACAACTATTCTATATGAGGAAACCTCTTATGACATATAATGCAAGTGATGTCTTCGTATGACTGCACCAGTATGTCTAACTTCATGCAAGTGTCTCCATGGATCTTACTGTCATGTAGATCTGTCCACTTATCCTAATCATGTCGAACAAATTACTGTTCTAGAAACTTTCAGTTTACCTTTCGGGGCAGATAATTTTTGAATTACCATATTCTTAAGCCGCATTCTTGCATGTCAAAAATCTTCTAAAAGATTTTCTGCTAGTTACATGATACAAGTTATAACTGCTTGTTTCCAAATTCCATAGAGATGGTATATCCCTTAGAAGCTTCGATTCCATTGTCTTTTATTTAATTATATTTGACAATGTTCTTTGAATCTTATGCATTTATTGCTTTCAAGTCTTGACCTGGGTTAGCCTGAATGATCATGGAAGCAAAAAGAATAAATTCTTAAGTTATTCTGCAGGAAGGGTGGTATGCTGGCAAAGAAAGCTCAAGAATTGAATCTAGTTCTTCAAGAATCGTAGTTGACCGTGCCATGCATACAAGATTTTTTAAAGTGCAAAAGAGTGGCCTAACCAGACCGGTACCCTCTAACCGGATATGTATATGATACAAGAGGCTTTTTTCTGCTACACATTTCTCATACCTCACAATTTTGCATTGCAAATCCCTGCATCCTGCAGCTGGCTACTTCTTTGGAAGATACAGAGCGGCATCTAGAATAAAGAGTGAGGTCATCTTAGAAGAGAGTTCATCCAAAGAATGAAAGTACCATCATTTGCAGCTGTTTCAGCTGTGTGATCTTGAAGATGGAAGAACTCATCATCCCATTCTTAGCGATCTGGTTGTACATTGGAACTCGATATTATGATTCTTTGATATTACACAGAAGAGTCTTGTCAGCATTCTACTCTTTGTATGAATGTAAGTACTTGCAGGTATATGTGTACTGAAGTTCTATCAGTGAAATGAAATATGTATAAATTTCTTCAAAACTGGTCCACCACCTGTACTTTCTCTTGCATTATTTCACTCTTTAGAATGAATGTTCATCCAATTGGTAAACCATTTTTCAAGAACACAGATTCTCTCAATTAGCACTAATTAAAAATTCCCAGTTTACAAAAATTAAAACCCAATGCTATATTAGGGAATTAATTTTGGCTTTTACCTTATCTAATTTTTCTATATATTATATTATACTAAAAAAAAAAAAAAAAGTTTAATTAATGGAAGAAAAAAAAGGAGGAAAAAGGGTTTTGTTAAGGACTTGAGGGGCTTAATAGTAAAATCGATATTTTATAGGGATATAAAATATAATTTTATTTTTGAGAAAATAATTTTATTATTATTAATCTGATAGCCCAACGCAGAGGCACAGAAACCAAGAGTGGATTATGCCGAAAAGGGCGTCGCCATCTCATTAAAAAACGACACGTGGCAAAAATGCAACGTGGCAGGAAAGATGCCACGTGATAAGAAAGGTGGCATGTGGGACCTCCTATAATACATTGTTGGCCACATTCTGCATATGTGGTTGGTACAAGAGCAGGACACGTGTCTTCCTCAGGGGCCTTTTTGTGGGGCCCGCTAATTGGCAAATCAGAAATTTATAAGGACGAATAAAATTTTTAAATTAATCGTAATTAACAACTTGATTAACGTAATTTAAATATTATTTGAAAAAAATGTCGCAATATGTCTTAAAAAATTAATTTTTTGGTCATTCGACTATTTTATTTTATAAGCTTATATTTCAACTTCAACATACATTTATTTATATATAATTATGTCAAATATATATGACTATTCAAGGAATGACAATTTTATACAGGGGATAAACTTATAATCCACTTTGATTTATAAGTCAAAATAAGTAACTTGAGATAAAATAAAATAAATAATATTTTTTATAAATAAATTTAAAATAGTACTTGAGTTTGAATTATTATTTTTATTTAAAAATATCATAACATTTAAATTTATTTAATTAATTAACATCGATAAAATGAGAAATTATATAATTATAATTACGATTGATGAAGATGAAAATGTAAATTTTCAGGAAGAAAATTGCCAATTCCTAAAATACTAGATTTCATTATGATATCTAATTTGAAGATAATTTTTTAATTTTTATTAAATTAAAAAATAAATCATTAATAATTACGGTAACAATAATAAAATAAAATAATAATAATTTAGATAAAAGAGTACTATTAAAAAACTTTGTAAGCATGTAACAAAGTGTAATTTTTTTATTAAAAAAAAATAAAAAATGTAAATATAAAAAATATGTAAGGGTATAGGTGTAATTTCAAAAGAAAGAAGTGGATATTGTAGGGTGGCGAAAATGAAAGGCAAATCCAATCTTGCCAGCAAGTAGAGACGCCCCTTGGTTTATTAAGCAAATCCGAAAAGGAAAAAAAGAAAACTTTTTAACAAAATTATATAATTTTTTCTTCTTCTTCTTCTCTCTCTTTCTATATATACATATACATATATATATATATTGTATATAAACACAAAAACCAGATTCCTAGTCTTTTCATTTTCCACGATTTTCTCCCTTAACAAACACCATTTTTATCTTTTTTGCACGTTAAATACCATATCTTTACTAACCAAAAACAATAAACCTTCTTGTTTTGCTATTCTTCTTCGATTAAAACCCTCTCTAGTGTAGAATCCGTCAACCCCTTGTCTTACGCTTTTAATTACTTTTTCTTTTGTTTTTTCTTTAGCAGGAAATAAATAAATAATACCCTTTTTGAAAAAATTAAAGAATATCAAGAAAAAATAAATAAATAAAAAAGAAAACACCCAAAATCTCCTGTCGTCTCTCCCGAAAAAAAAAAAAAAAACCGCCTTTACTTACCTACCCTACCCTAAAACCGCCTTTATCTCTGCCTTTTACAGTCTTTACCAGGTTTTCCATTTTACCCAGAAGCGGTTTCTCTTTTCACTTTTCTTGTTTATGTCCGAACAAAGCCCCTGAAAAGACAGAAGAAGCTCTCGGATTCTATCTTTTTCTCTTTAATTTTTTTTTTCTGTCTTCTAGTTTTGGGTTCTCGTAATTCGAAATCGCGGGGATGGCTAGAGTGCGCCGGGGGTGCGTTGGATAAGGGTGGTTGGTTGAAGGCGGTCCACGTGGAGGATGGTGGTGGTGATGGGAACGGAGGTGACGAGGAGGTGGGGCACGTGGGAGGAGCTGTTGCTGGGCGGAGCAATTCTCCGGCACGGAACCCGAGACTGGAACGTCGTCGCAGCGGAGCTCCGGGCGCGCGCCACCGGTCGCCCTTACACATTTACTCCTGAGGTTATTGTTTTGATTAATTAATATTTTAATTATTTGTATTTAAATCCTAATTAGATACTTTTCTGTTAAATAATCCCCCAAGTATCTATTTTGTCTTCATGTTTGGATTGCATGAATTACGGATTTTTGAATTTTTTTTTTTAACTTTTTAAATATAAGATAATATATTAGTCTTATCTCCAATGAAATTTAAGCTCCTAAATATGAACAAGAACATGAATACCCAATAATGGACTCGTGGAAATCTAGGTAGATTTTTGAAATTAATGTTTTTAGTGTTTCTTAATTGTTTTTTTATTATATTTTAAAAGGGTATATTTTTATAAGTTTTGATCATATTGAAATTTAAACTCGACAACATAAATAATAGATTGGTTGAAATTTAATTAAAATTTTGAAATTAATGTTTTAATGTTTCTTAATTGATTTCGATTATAATTTGAAAGTGTATATTTGTATGTCTCTTAAATTTTGTAAAGTCAAAAGTTCTATAGCTTTTCTAGGCATTCTAAATGTCCAAATTACCCTCCAATGAATGTCATATTTCTCTTCTTTTACAAGGAGCTTGTACATTTCTGAGTTATGTTAAATATTTTTAATTTAATTTTAAAATAAATATTTTACTTTTTGAAAATATGGTTTTTTGAGAAAAAAAAAAAAAATTGTGTTATTAAATAATTTGGGTCAAATCATACACAATTATTTCTAGATAATCTTTTGCATGAGGTGGGCCGTGTCATTATATCATGAAAAAGAATTATTGACATGGATTGGAAAACTAGTTTGCATGAAATAAGAAAAGGGTCTCATGAGTATGTAATTAGAAAGTTTGGAATTGTTTTTGCATTTTGATAATTATATAGATGAAAGGATAGGGACATGCATATTTCATGAACTTTTTTTTCCTTCCCTTCATAGCCTTTGAATAACTGTTTATGCATGCATTCAACATATATATATTTATATAGAAAATTCAGAACATATATGTGTTTATACCAGTCTATAACTGATTCGTTTTCACGATGTAGCTGTACTGAGTAATTAATTTGGCTGATTAAGATCCTTTGAGTTGTTTCAACCATGTAGACTCTTGGGCTTAGTTGTGGCTGCTGCTTTATATTCGACTTTTGGTATTAGACATCGATATCTTTGTTGTCTTTTACTGCACTGAGAAATAGCTTTACCTCTGATGTAGCATAGACTTCTCAGAACATCTCCTAAGTGAGACTTCTTTATTTTATACATAATTCTGGTCACTATGCTCACTACTTATGAGATATATGGCCTTGTTAATGTGAGATGGATTAGGCTCCTGACAAAAGTACCTGTTCATCTTCCTTCAGTCGAGCGTTGTCTTAGGTGACTCTACCGGAGTTCAGGATGTGTTTCCACTCAAGCATCCCATACCTTTCTAAGAGATCCTTATCATATTTGTGCTTACTTAAGAAAAGTCTTTCCTTGGTTTGCTCAACTTGAAGACCATGGAAATGTAATAAGTCACTTAGAACTTTCATTTGGAAGCATATTGATAAGTTGGGTCCAGTTTCCAAATTTCTGCTTCATCATATTCAGTTATGATGAGATTGTCTTGGTGGATTTATGTGTTGCCAACTTATCATCTCTGGCCTTGATGAACAAGCTTGAGTTGGCTGGTACCATTGTGAAACAACATTGGATTAGAACTCTGATATCTTCCTGTATCATGTTCTTGGTACTTGCTTTAACCCATATAGTGCCTTCTATCGTTTACATGCATAGCTTGGTTGAGTTTTTGCTTTCAAATCTTTGAGGTTGCTCCATATATATTTTCAATCCAGTTCTCCGTGTAGGAATATGTTCCTTACATTCATCCGATAAAGCTTCCATGACTTATTGGCAGCTAATGCCAATAAGACAGGTTGTGGTGATCTTCACTAATGGGCTGAATGACTAGTCAAGTCCATGCTAATGTGAGAATCCACGAGCCACTATTAGAGCTTCAGATCTTTCAATAGCACCATTTGATTTGCTCTTTATTTTATAAACCCATTTGCATGACATGGGGTTTACTTCAGTAGGTCTTGGCACCAATTCCCATGTCTCGTTTTGTTTCAAGGCTTCTATTTCTTCTTCCATAGCTTTTCTTTATTCCTTACCTAAGAATAAGAATACCTTCTCACATGTGATTGGTTCTTTTATTTTCTCTCCTTCAACCACTGTTGCGTTGGCACACTTGGGATCTGGTCTTTGTTGCCTTATAGATCTTCTTGGTTGGAAACCAAGTTCCCTCACTTCTTCACTCCCTTGAATCTCTGTAAATTGTTTAGGCCACACATCCGCTGATGTTTGTTGATCTACTCTTGTTCACCAGGAAGATAAATCCATTTCAGGTGACTTCTTGCTAGCCTCTTCAGTTTTAATTTTTTTTTTCGAGGCTTTTCTTCAATATCCTTTGTATTTGGAAGCATTATTGCTTGGCAGACCACCATAACAAGTTCTCGTTGAACACCATATGTCGAGAGGTATAACATATCCTTGTTACAAAATTGCAACACTTCCACTATTTTCTTTGATTATCATAACCCACGGATATGCATCAAATCCTCTTTGTCAAACTTAATGCAGTATTGATTGGTACAAAAAACCTAGCAAATGTATCTAAATATCAGAAAATGAGTTACTGTGGGTTTCGTTTCCCATAACTTCTCGAAGGGGAAGCAAACTCCATTGTTGTATGTGGTAAGCTGTCCTCGTGCATTTTGCCTAAAAATTGAGGTGGCACGTTCTTTGCATGCAAAATACTACTTCATATCCATGCAAGATGTCTACTTTTGGAATCTACTTCTAAATTTTATTATGGAGTATGTGGATCCATTGCCTTCTAATCTTGCAGTCTTCTAGATATTGTGAAATGTGAATTATATTTTCTTCCTTTTATTGGTATGAAGACACTAAATTCTTTGACTTATTTGATTTTCAACTTTTCCTTGAGCCCTTTAAACTTAAGGCTTCTGATTTTCGTTCAAAAGTTCATCCATATGTACCTTGAGAAATCACTGATGAAGGTTATCATGTATCGATGCCTGATGATAAATGATTGCCTTACATGACCAAATATGTTGAATGGACCAACTCGAGAGGCTTCTTTACTTTATATTTTTCCTGTGGTAATTGATGTGCTTTATTATACTGGCAACCTGCACATGCAGTGTCTTCACAAATCTCCAGTTGAGGAAGTCTCTTGAGCATAGCTCTTCACCATTACCCTTAGTTTATGATAGCTCATACGTCCCGAGTGTGCTTGCCATAAATTATTATCTTAATTTTCTGAGTCTTATCTAAGCTGTTTGTGCTGACATTACAGAGACTACTCCAATCACTTTCCTTCCACGATTGGTGAAGTAGTTGGCTATAGACTCCTGTATACTTTCACGTTTTTGGGTCCAAAGGCCATGTAATTACCTGAGAATGTGAGTTGTGGTGCTGATATCAAAGTCTTCTTCATCTTGGGCACATGGAAAACATTTTCCTGCTGCACTTGTTGTTGGCTAAATCGAAGCACTATGACCAATACTTTTTCTTTTTCTCGGAGTGATTGGTAACTCTGAA